ATAAAGTTTTTTCATTTCATTCATTCCTCTCAGGAGAGCTCCTCTCAGGAACAAATAGAACAAGCAGAAGAATCAGACAGAGAAGAAGAAAGGGAGAACGATGATGAACAAGAAGAAGAGGAGGAAGTAAAGTCATCGGGAGAAAGTGACACCAAAGACGACAGTGACAACGAAGAAAAATCAGATGAAGAGGAAGACAGCAACGATCAAAAAGAAGACGAGACCGAGGACGATGGCGATAGCGACGACGAAGAGAAGGTCAAGGATGAGAGGAATGGGAGAGATGTCTACAACGTGGAGTCTGGGAAAGATCTCCCTTATACTGAAAAACTAAGGAAAGCCTTGATAGGTGACCTGGACAGCGAGTTCCCAGAGAACGTTAAAGTTGTGAGAATTTTCACGAGCTCCACTTTCACAGGTATTGTATTGTCATAACTGGTCAATCGACGGGGTGGTGGTGGGGGGGAGGGCATATTCGATTCTTCAGACTGCTAAAATCCAATACTGTGAATCTCTGACTGTTTGATCATCAATTGCTTATAAATTTTGTACCAAATAAAAGTACTAAAACGTGTTAAAGACTAAGGAACGATATCGGAAAGACACGTTTTGCCTTAAAAAAGACGTCAGCCTAAGAAACAGTATAATTTCCCCCCTCCAAAAAAAAATTGAGCAACACTTTATGTTTGTTCCTTTTTTCATAAGACACCTCAGTGGAGCGCAACACATTTATGGAGCGAGTGTACCCCCGACTGAAGTCCTACTGTCAGGAGAGAGGATATGACTTTCAAGTGGTGGACATGAGATGGGGAGTCCGGGACGAGTCCACCGATGATCACATGACCACTGAGCTGTGCATGAGAGAGTTGCGCGCATGTCAGAAGCTGTCGACTGGACCTAACTTCATAGTAAGTTGGATTAAGTGTGGTACCATAAAAAGCTAAACAACATGTAGAGATTTCACTTTCTAAAAGGCAGTTTTCACATCATTAGCTAACTGATTTTGATAGCCTTTTTTTTAAATTTGTGACAACAATTCTTTTTTCAGACGTTTCTTGGACAAAAATACGGTTACCGTCCCTTTCCTACCAAGATAGTTGCCTCTGAGTTTGAGAAGCTTCTTAACGCAGTTGAAAACCAAGACGACGTTGCACTACTGAAACACTGGTTTCGGCGAGACGACAACTCAGTTCCAGCCCAATATCTGCTGCAGCCAATCACGTCGCTACTGCCTCACTATCGCGACTATGCGAACGAAGAGTTACGTAAGAAAGCGTCTGCCGATTGGTGGACAGCATTCGAGAGAATGCAGGTTGTTTTGAGAGCAGCCGCTGACAAGGCTTTGGATGAGAAGATTGAACGGCATAAGTATCACATGTCAGGTATTGATATGACTCAGGAATACAGTTTTTTATCTTTCTCACCACATTTTGATGTAATCTGTGATCTGTTACTGCACATGCGGACTGCAACATGGAATTTGTTAAATGAATCATCGTCGCAGGCGAGCTGCAAAAAGGATTTTTTTAAATTGTTTGTCTAGATACTTTTCCACTATTACTTTCATCGCCGCTTGACTACAAGGATCATTTCTTTATTTGTATGACTCAGGCAGCTAAGGTTTTGAGTTGACAGTGAGAGAGCTCCCTCAAAGCATGCACAAAACGTTTTGACGTAGTTACGTTGATCACGCTGAGTACCTCTTATGGCCATGTAAGACGATTATTTGTATCTTCTTTCATAGTTACCGAGGACGAAATCCGAAGAGGCATCATAAACGCTTCGCATCCCTCAAACCACTGCTTCTGGTTTAAAAGGGTCATCACAGATCTCCACGCTAATATTGAGAATAAAAACACTGGGAAATTCGTCGACAAGACATGGGGAGCTAATTCATCGATAGACGAGACTGCTCAGGAATTACTCAACGTTCTTCGGGAGAAAGATCTTCCTCAAGTTTTATCAAGCGCAAACATCGTGAGTTATGACATCAAATGGTCCGAAGGTGGCGTCGACCCATCTATCTCAGACGAACATTTTCAGTACATTGAAAAACTTTGCAAAGATTTTTATGATACCTTAATTCAGATGATCAATAAAGGGATTGAGGAGAAGGAATCATCGGATGCAAGAGATGGATTCGCAGAGGAAATATTCCAGCATGGTTCATTCTGCCAGAATAAGTGCAAATCATTTCATGGCCGTAAAGAGTTTTTAGAGGCTTCAAGGGAAGTCCTGGTGAATCACGAAAACCATGCTGTTGTGCTGCATGGAGAATCGGGTTGTGGAAAGACGTCGATTATGGCAAAAATTGTCACCAAAGTGAAACAGTGGCTTGAAGACGACTCTGCTATAGTGGTTTTACGTTTTATTGGCACCACACCCGAATCTTCTGGCATAAGGCCTCTTCTAAGAAGTGTCTGCGTTCAGTTGTGCAGAGCGACCGGTCAGAATACTGAAGATATACCTGAGGTAACGTTTGCGATTATTGTACCCAATAATTGGGAGCGACAAGGAGATAATTGGTGTATCACGTACATTAGAGCTTAGAAATGTTAATTCCGATACCTATCGTTAATTATTTTTCAACTGTATTATTTTCATTCAGTCATATCAGTATCTGAAATTATGATTCAATATTGAATACTCGTGGTCTCAAAATAAGTGAGGAGAATTTGCTACCTTTCTATAATCAAAAAATGGTTAGATATTCTAGTCTTCTTGGATAAGGACAAATAAACCGTAGGCCCTGTCTCCTGCAGGGTTAGGGGTTGGAGACGTTAATTTCCCACGCACGAGATTACTGTGTAGTGGATGTCCTCCCTCCCCTGGGGTGGGATGGGTAGGAATTGACCCTGAAAAGCCCCATGGGGAGTGGTCAAGTAACGTATGTATGTATTTATGTATGTATGTATGTATGTATGTATGTATGTATGTTCTGTATTTGAAGATGTAACATGAAAAATTAAATGAATTCAAGTGACATATATTAACATAGTATATTAACATAGTAACACTTAGTCTTTAGGGATGCCTCTCAACCTTGAGCTGAATAAAACAGCTGGCCTCAGTTGTAATGTTATCCAATGCAAATTTCATTATCAGTTGGACAGCACAGTATCTTTTGTTAAAACTTATCTTCTGGATAGCCATTTATCTGTTCCGTCTTCATTTACCCTTCGAACAACCTTGTCAGGGCCTTCTTTTAAGGTGAAACTGTTCCATTTTTTACCTAGGACATTAAATCCCTCAAAGACTATTTTCAAGAATGCCTGGAGAAGTCGGCTGATGATCAACCTGTTGTTCTGGTGTTGGACTCACTTGATCAACTCTCTATTGACGACGGAGGTCGGCAAATGGACTGGTACCCAAGACATTTACCAAACAACGTCTACGTTATTCTTTCCACGCTACCTGGCGAGGAATATCAGGCCTTACCAAGTCTTAGAGTAAGTTATAAACGGCATCTGGAGAATTTACAGTGTTGTGCAAAAGTCGAAGTGTATAATCTAAAAACCCTTTTCTTTTAAGCTCAGAGTTGAAGTCCCAGGCGCGTAGCGTCCTATACACATATACGCACGTGCGTACTTGAAGTGACCAGAAAATTTTGAAATTTTTAGCAATTTTTTCTATATTTTCGCTCAGTTTACTTAGGCTTATAGATTATATGTACTTGTGCGTACTTAAAAAAAATGACCACCCTACGCGCCTGAGTACATAACATATCTGTGAATAGGCCATTTTACAGTTGTGTACTTAGTTGCCAAGCCTTTGATTCAGAGTGAGGCTAAAGATGACCTTGTTGTGATAGAGACCTGTATCTAGTTAGCATGATAACAATGTGATTTACATTTGAAAGGCAGCAAGGTTTGTATCATAACAAGATCATCTCGTATATGTGCAAGATCATCTCTAGCCTCACTCCCATTCAAAGGCTTGGCAACCAAGCACACAACTGTAAAATGGACTATTAGGAGTATGAAGGTGTTGACGGTATTACTTTGCACATTGTAGACCATCCTTTCAAGTGAATGTTTTCTGGAAGTACCAAAGATTCCTCTCAATGAAGCAGACGTCATCCTTGACAATTGGCTCAGAGCAGCTAATCGCACAGTCCTACCTGATCAGAAAAACTACGTCATGGAGTCTTTTCAGAAGTGTCCCCTCCCATTGTACCTCAAGTTGGCTTTTGACGAAGCCCTGCGATGGAACTCGTACACTCCTTTCTCCGAGCTTTACCTGGAGCCATCTGTGCGGGAAATCATTGATGACATGTTCAGCCGAGTGGAAAGGCGACACGGTAAAGTTTTGGTCAGTCATGCACTGGCCTACATTACAGCATCCAAGAACGGCTTAACCGAGACTGAGTTGGAAGACTTGCTCTCGTTAGACGACGAAGTTCTTAATGATGTCTACCAATACTGGACTCCTCCAGTGAGAAGACTTCCACCGTTGCTATGGATTCGCATTCGGTCTGACATCGGTGACTATCTGATTGAACGAGGAGCCGACGGCACTCGAGTGGTATTTTGGTATCATCGTCAGTTCATCGAAGCCGCAAGAGAAAGATACTTGTTAGACGATCAAGCCATCAAGATTCACGCCAATATGAGCGAATATTTCCTAGGGAGGTGGTCTGGCGGAGTGAAGAAACCATTTCTCGACAAAGAGGGCAAAGAGATGTCCATGGACAGATTGGTACCAAAACAACCACTGATGTTTGACTCAAGTGAGGACAACGAGATATTCAACCTTCGCAAGTTGAGTGAGCTACCATTTCACTTATTTCATTCTGGAAATCTAGAACAAATGAAAGAAGAATGCCTTTGTAACTTCGAGTTTCTTCTAGCAAAACTCAGAGGAACCTCTTTACAAGTTCTCATGAGCGATTTTTCGTCCTACATTGACGCAAAACAAGAAGACAATGATGTGGATCTCCTTTATGAGTGCTTACAACTCTCCGCTCACTCACTCGCCCAGAATGGCAATCAACTTCCAACGCAGTTGATAGGACGCATGTACAACTTTTTAGAGAGAAAGGAACAGTACCCTGATGTGTACAAGGTCTTGAAGCAAGCGCTGAATTCTTCGACAGCTTGCTTTCTTCCAAACAGAAAGTGTCTGACAGCGCCTGGTGGAGCGCTGCGTTCTGCCATCGGTTTAACGCAGTCTGGCACGGATGTCGTTAGCATGGCTAAAGATAACCGCACAATTGCAGTCTCAAGCCAATCATCGGATGGCCTTGTTGTTAGAATCATTGATTACGTTAGTAATAAAGAAGTAAGAAAGTTTACTCTTCAACAGCCCGCCGAGATGTATAGCACAAATTTTAACCAAATAAGTCAGAAGAATCCTAATTTGTTGCTGCTTGGTGGATCGTCCAAAATTTTCCTGCTGAACACTCTGACTGGACAAATAGTGAGAGAATTTCAAGTTTCCGATGACGATTGGTTCTCCTACAACCTTCACGCTCCAATTTCGTTTGCCGACGATGAAAACTTGCTGGTTGCTATCTGTCCGGATTCACTGAAGGTGTGGCAAGTAGAAAATGGAACACTTCTTCACAGTTTACCCTTGAAAGGAGTCAACACAGAAGATGAAATTGGTGCTATCGATGCTCGTGGGAGTTTTGCAGTCTACAACCTCCGAGGGAAAAACACTGTGCACTTCATTGATTTGAAAACTGGCCGAGAGGTGCGAAAGATCACCATTTCATACCCTAAAAGTAAAGGTTCCAAAGAAAAAGTCTTTATCAAGGAAATCAAAATAACATCCCTTGATCAAGTGGCTGTGATCCCATCCTCATTTGATAGTTTGCGATTATACGATCTCTCAGCAAACCTGATTCGCGAACTTACTAATTTCAAGATGCAAGAAGGTCTTCATCGTATGCAGATTACCGATGACGGCACGAAGGTCGTGACAGCTGATATGTTTGAAATCTGTATCCTGAACCTGGAAACAAAAGAAATGGAGCGGTGTCTTAGAAGCCCAATCTTTCGGATGCGATTATACACACGTGATGGAATCCACATATTGGCTGTGGGCCAAGACAACATACTTCGTGTTTACGACAGAAGTCGAGAAGAGGATGACGAAAATCAAAAGGATACTTCCCTCAGTACAATTCAAGGCAACACGATTGCTGACCAAATCACAGCCATTTCGACCAGTTATGACCAACGCCATGTACTAACAACGGCCACCATTCAACTTCGGAACGAGCTAGCTGTCTGGGATGGGCTGACTGGTAAAAGAGTACGACGTCTAACGAATCTTATGTTGTTTCCGAATCCCATCCGCATGTGCACTGCCACCCGCGGTGTCGGCTTCATCTACGATCAGGAACTTCCACATTATAAAGTTATAAACTTTGCTGAGGGAAGAATTGAGAGAAATCTGGAAGGAAAAGCATGTAAAAGAATGAATGCGTTTGGATTCATTGATCAAAAGCGGATGATCTCGTTTTCTAGAGGAAGGCGATTCGTCAAAGTGTGGGATGTTGACAGTGGAAAAGTGGTGAAGGTGATGAAGTTCAAAGAAAAGCAACGATTCGAAGACATGTTGATCAGCAATAATGGCAAAACGGCTATTTGTTCACAAGCAAGTCAGATGACTCAGCACAGCAACAAAGAACTACCCTTAATCGTTATTGACACGACCAGCTTCAGCAGCAAGAACCTTCAGTACCAAGGCGAGCAGTTGAGTCTTTTCAACGCACGGATATCAGATGATGGTAATTATCTGGTCAGTCTAGTGGAGTATTCTCAGCCACTACTCTGGAACCTCCAAACTGGCCAGCTGGTACGAAAGCTGTTTGACCCGGATGCCTACGAAAGGGCCAGCACTGTCGCAGTTTCAGGTGCATCGATGAGCGCCGTAACTGGAACAGTTGACCAGAAGATCAAGATATGGAGCATTGAAAGTGGTGAGGTCTTGCGCAGCATAGATTCCCCACACGTCTCCGAGCTCTTTATTTCACCAGATGGGGAAGTCATCATTTCCAGATCTGATCAAAATCATGACTTTGACGCCTGGGACACGAAGACTGGGAAGCAACTGGCCTCATTCACCACAGATGGTTCCCCAAATCATGTGAAAATTATTGGAGACAGGCTTGCTTTGGGACTCGGCGAAAACCCAAATCTGATGATTATCCATTTGCATCGTCCTGCCCTGAAAGACAGAATGGAAGAAGAGAATTTACCGTCTCCATATGACGGTCTACCTGAAGAAGCAACCGTGGAAAACTTTCAAGAGAAACCCTCGAAGGATGACGGGATTGATGATGATAAGGATGACGATGACAGTTATATAGCTTAGAAAACCGGACCTGTAGCTGCCTAGTATAACCTCTGACAAAATATTTATGTTTTTTTTAAAGTCAGTTTACAGTGGGATAGATTGAAAAAGCAGGGCACGACTCTTCTAATTAATTTTCCCCTTGTCTCTGTAACGATTAATCAAACAATTGATATAGCCAGTCAGCGCTAACAATTTTCGATTGCTTTTGTAAGCGAATCGTTTCTGTTAGTTCGGCCGTATTATAAGTTGATTGTATTATTCTTGTCAAACGACCTCCTCTCTAATTTTACAGCCTCTTGGGGTTTTTTTTAGTTCGTGCGGCAACTTCCATTTAGAGTGATTTGTAAAATGAGAGTCGTTTCACGAAATCAAAACGTTTTACTACAAATTCACAAGCAATTAAGGGACTCCACACTGTCGCAGTTTATCTCAGTTTCTGTAGCTTGGACCATTTTGCATTATATTTGCTTCCCCGGGATGAGATGGCTGTCTGTCACGTGGCATTCCTCCAAACCCCCCCTCCCCTCCGTCCCTAGGCTAGGATTTCGTCACACATCTCTGCTCATTTGCCGTTACGCCACTCTCCGTAATACCGAAAGTCAACTGGAATAAGAATTCTTAGGTCACACTTTTAAATTGCCACCAAACACAACACAAAAGCTGGGATAATAAATACGTCGATATCCTTCTACCTCAACATGGACAAGTAAGGGCATTCCTTGCCATATCATAGGTCCAATTTTCAAAAGGAAATTCCATAGTCATGCTCTTTGGTATGCAGGTTTCATTTGCACTTGATGCGAGCTTATTTGCGACCTCGTTTCTTAAACTTGCGGAGTAGATGCAGTAGGTGGTAAGAATAGCACAGTCTGTCGCTAGTCTGAACACGCATAATTTTAAAAATGTCGCGAAAGCTGATCTTTCCTCCTCTTTGCTGAACAAATGATTTCAACGCACCACTTAACGATATTTTAAGTTGATCTAAAAAAAGTAACAAAGCTGTCACTCAAGTGGAGTTCTGTGACACATTTAAAAGAAGGCGTTGTTTGGTCGGCCAAACCCTCCCTTCCGCATTCTTTAGGAGATCAATATCTTCGCAAGACTTTCGCATTATATACGTTTGCGTTATGCTTTTGAATAATTTTTTATATGTTAAGTTAGTGCATGTAGCTTCAATGTGTTCATAGTGTCGAGGCGTTTCAATCCCATAGTGCATTTTATTATTGATGTTTACAGCTTGAGTTTCTTCACTTCCTGTACACACCCACAACGGTTAAAGTGCTACTGAAACGAAATTTTCGTATCTGAAATATTTGCTCTAACCTGTAGTTTTGAATATGCTGATCATCATGAGATAATTTGCTTTGGCCAAAAAGAAGCGAAAGATATCTTTTTTAACCGTTAAAATAAAAAATTTTACACAAAACCATGTCCGGGCCCTGGTACCGAGCGAAATGGATTGATGACGTCACTGGTTGTGTTCACTCCGATAGCGTGGTTTATTTCACTCACTGTTTGTTTGTATTTGTGGGCGAAGGAGATGGCAGATATTGAAGTTTTGTCAAGTGAATCTTCTTCTGAACGAAGCGAAGTTGTCTCCAGTAGCGAAGACGAAGATGGTGGCGTAAAATGGGGTTGACAGGCCTACACGACTCCCAAGCGTGTGTTTAGAGTAGCCTATTCAAAGTTTAGCCCTCACGAGTATGTCTTTGAGCGACCGCCCTCTTTTGTAAGATACGAGCGGTGGATTTTTGTATAGTTCGCTCAGTAGTGGTTGTGTTTCTATTAAATGCCAGTTTTTCATGAGAATTTGCTTTATGTGTGGCACTGAGTACGCACATCAGGGATTGCGTCTTTTTCGAATCGTTCGCCTTTGTAGATGTACAGCTATTTTTTTGACTGTCTCGATCGTTAAGTTGTCTTGATTGCTTTCGGCTTGCGTCACGCGCGCTGATTCGATCGTACTACAGTTCTTAGTGTTCAGTGTTCCAGCCGTTTTGGTTCGTTTTCTTTTCTTTATTTCGGTATTAAAACGACCGATTTCACGTTCATAGAAGCACATGATCGCCTTTACTGTTTCTTGCTCCGCGTTGTTAAGGATTTGCTTTATCTCATTTTTGAAATCCTCGTCTGCTCTCATTTTGGCCCTCGCCCTATATTGTAGGGACTCTGGGCATGTTCTGCGAGGCATTTGGTACAGAGGGACTTGGGTTCTGTCCTGGTGTACCGGTTCACAAGGAAATTACCATTGTTCTTTCTTTGTTTAGGAGTCATTGGTTAGCTGTTGTGTATTGTTTGGTCTTTTGTATCGGCTCTTATGAACCGGTACACGAGGACAGAACCGGGATTTGTTCGTTATCCTCAGACTTGCCGAGTAGATCATCTTCAGTGGCGGTGTCGTATGAAGCTTCAATGTTTACTTCATTCTCTGGATGCCATTGCTTTGGCTCGGGGCGTTTAGTAGCCCATCTACAGTTATAATGTCTCTCGACGTTTTCTGTAGATGGTCAACCAAGACCACGGTTTCGATCCTAATCTTGTGGATCTCGTCAGTTTCCGATTAACTAAATAGACTGGTAGAGATTCGTTCTCGGTATCAGTCGGGAATTTTGCTCCCTATCCGGGCGAACCTCCCGCAGATAGCCAAGATGCCGATGTGGCCGCCGATGAATAAGACGAGGATGGCATTTTGCCCGAAATCCTCTTTATCGGCCTCCCAACATGCAAGCCACACTCCATGCTTTTACCCTTCCTTCACAGAAGTACACAACCAGTGACGTCACAGGGCTGTTTTGGCCGCGCCAAGATGGCCGCCAATTTTGATCTCAGCCGGTCAACTTCGAATGGTTAAAAATGTACTTTCCGCTATGCGTTGGCCCAAAAAAGGTACACAGCGTTTGCAAATAACGTTCAAACTCTATTATATTGCAAAAATCTCGGATACGAAAATTACGTTTCAGTAGCACTCAATACTTCGAAACAGAAAATGCCAAATCGTACTGTTTTGATTCAATCTTCCATACATAACCCTTCGGGCTGATTTGTCTGAATCTATCAATGAAAATGATACTGCAATTTAAAGTTTCTTCGTGAGCACTGTATTTTGACCTTTCCAAACAGATTGCACTTAAGTAAACTGCCCTTGATTCCAGCTCACACAACACAAGATGGAGCAGAAAATTCTTATTGAGTATTTCACTAACCGTGACGACTTAATAATTCATTAGCCTTTCGTGACATGTTCGTGTTTTCGATAGGTTTCTCTCGTGAATGTTAATGTCACACCTAGCAGTTTCCCTTCCATAGTTATCGGGTGCACGTTGTCGCCCGAAAAACTGCAAAGCAGTACAAATAGCGAGAATTTATGGCCAAGCCCAGTATATAAGGTTGGTCTTTTAGTGTTGTTGTTGTTGTTTATTTTTTCTAAAATCGCATGGAAGTGTATCGAGCAAATATTTCCTTCTCGCTGTGTTGTCAACCACATGATTATCGACGAAGTGTTGCAGGTTCATCTGTCGATCGAGCTAAAAACACGATCTGCGAGCTAAATTAACACGAAGAATTTTCCCAACAACCTTCAAATTATGCTTCGTGCCTGTAGTACGGAAACAAAGCATTTGAAATGTTCGACGAGAACAATTATGGAAGGCAATTATGTCGAAGGAATTGATGTTTATTCGTAGATAGCGCGTTTTATGGTCTTCTTGAATAGATTAAAAGTTAGTTGTCTTCGGGAAGATTGTCACGAAAGAAATAAATCCAGTTTGTTACGTTTTCGTTCCCAATAGGAAAAGAAAGGTATGGATCAGGGCAAATAAAAGAAAGCAGACTTTTTTTGGCTTTAAAAAGGATGCCCGAGGTTGTTTTGAATTTGTCGGTAACCATGAGTACCATGGCCAACATATAAACCGCTTAGCTTATTTCATTAAAATACTTATTTAAACTGGAAGGATAATAGACATTTTAAAATGTCTGTCGAGTTGTGCTTTACTGTTTTTTTTTTTTTCCTTTTCTTTTTTTTTAACAGAGATTACGCAAAAGAGTAAATTTGAAATTCATCAGTCGATTAAAAGTAGCTATCAACTTAGGGCGCCAATCACGAACTCAAAACATCGGTTAAGCTCCGAAGAAAGGTTTTTTTTTTCCCACTTCTCTACCTCGCTGTATGACCGGTTTTCCGTCGGTTACTCTGTCGTTATTTTGGCATAAATTATTTTATTTGATCAAAAAGGCTAGGCCGTTCTATGATCAGTTTCCAAAGCATTTCAATACGTCTGTGATTCGTGTGCATTTCATCAAAAGCATCTCTATTGCTTTCGGTGTTTTTCACTGGACTCGTCTTTGAAGTGCATCTTCTACAGCCACACTATAAATACTTCACCACATTCGGAATGAATTGTGTAAAGGGGAATTGGAAATTTGAATGGACTAATGTAGACGAGATACTGAGAATCGAAAATCAATCGGCGAAGTTAGGAAGAAGGGTTGTATAGCAGGTGGAAGCCTATTTAGGGGGGTGTCTAGGGGCATGTTTACAAAGGAAATTCATTTCAATCTTGCGTGAAACTAGCGGGGGGGGGGGTGGCTGGTGTATTGTTATACAGAAAAATCATTTTTCTGATATCGTTATTAAGACCTTTACTAGTCAACAGTATTTAAAATCAGGCCTCTTTAAACTCATGGATACCAAGGACACATATTTAAAAACATTTGAAAATGTAATCGCATAACCTTTTAACTCAAAACGAAGAAGAARAAAAAAAAAAAAACTAGAACGCCCAACTTACCCTTGAATCTTAAACGAATCTTTTTCTCATGTTTCAAAAAAATATCAGGCTTCTTCTCCACGCTCGTCCGAACTGCATGTATGGTATACCACTGGTTACGTATGTAGTAATCATAACCGGGAAATAACTTTAAAAAATCTTTCAGCGGTTGGTTTGATCTTCAACGTTGAGTTTGTTCCAAACACGATTGTCTATCAAGAACGATGGGTGTTCTCCTGTCCAAAAAGCAAACCAAGACGCGACAGAGCTTCCAGGTAACAACGAGCTAAACTTGTTCAAGTGTATTGAGATGGCTGTTGATTAACTTTAAAACAGCGATATAGCAGTAGTTTGTTGTTACCCCTAAGCCAAAGTGTCTTAAATGAAAAGTAAGACCAAAAGTGGACGACAAAGTGCAGTAAGAAATAAGTTTGGGAAGGACTCGTGTGACGTCACTGGAGATAACTCTTGTTTTGTTTTATTTTATCACTTGTCACCAGGTCAATGTAGCACCTCAGGACGCAGACCATAAGGGAGAGGAGGCCGCTGACCATAAGGGAGAAGAGGCCGCTGGCCCGAGTAATCGGGAAGACCATTCGGGGAAAAGGAGGAACGAAGATGACGACACTGAATCTCAGAAGAGTTCCGAAAGCGAACAAAGGCCGAAAAGTGACGATGATGATTCCGATAACGATGAGAAGAACAAAAGTGATTCTGAAAAGGAAGAAAGCGTTAGTGAAGACAATGAAGACAAAAAGAGCAGAGGTAGTTCTTCGGCAAGCAGCAAGAAAAGTAAATCGTCGCAGGAGGATGAAGAAAAAGAAGAACGAGTTGAAGAGACAAAAAACAAAGACGTCGAAGTGAAAGAAGGCGGTGTCAAAGACGTCGTCTTGGCTCAGAATGAGGTGAACTTGAGTTACGAGAAAAAAGTAGAGAAAGCCTTGGTTGGTGATATGGATTTTGAATATCCAGAAAAAGCCAAAATCGTGAGGATTTTTACCAGCTCCACTTTCACAGGTATTTTTTTTTTCTTTCACAATTTCTTGAAATCATTTCTGTTTTGATCGTATACAAGAAAGTGTGGATGAACTGCAATTAAAGAAATTACAGAAAAAGAATTCTTGTTATCCCAGGAGTGGTATCACATGTAGCTCGGGTTGTGCGTCAATGGTTTTGCGGAGACGATTCAACACTGCAAGAGATGTTCACGTGAGCAAAATCCATGGCACAGGATTGGTTATTTCTAGATCCGTATGGGGTCTGCAGAAACCTTAGCTTAGTTATTTTTTTTTTGTCTTTTTTCAAACTTAATTTCCCAAACTTCACAGAGTTGCTTCTCCTTAATTTCAGAATTCTTTTGTTCGTGCGAGGAGAACCGGGAGCAAACGAAATGGCTTATTGTTCTTTGTTTAACTTTTAGACACCTCGGTTGAACGTAACACATTAATGGAGCGAGTATACCCTCGACTTAAGTCCTACTGTCAGGAGAGAGGATACGACTTTCAGGTGGTGGACATGAGATGGGGAGTCCGGGACGAGTCCACTGATGATCACATGACCACTGAGCTGTGCATGAGAGAGCTACGCGCATGTCAGAAGCTATCAACTGGACCCAACTTTATAGTAAGTTTGACTCATAACGCGATATGCAGATTCCCCTGTATACTGTAAGAGATGATACTAGAAGCACGTCTCACATGATTGTCTTTGTTCAGACCTTTCTAGGGCAAAAATATGGTTACCGTCCTTTTCCAGTGAAGATTCATGTCGCTGAGTTTGAGAAGCTCCTCAACGCTGTTGACAAGCAAGACGATGCTGCACTCCTGAAACACTGGTTCTGGCGAGACGACAACTCAGTTCCAGCTCAATATTTGTTACAGCCAATTACATCACTGCTACCTCATTACAGGGACTACGCGAATGAAGAGTCACGTAAGAAGGCGTCTGCTGAATGGTGGACAGCGTTTGAAAGAATGCAGGTTATTTTGAGGGTGGCCGCTGACAAGGCGTTAGACAATGAGGCAGAGCGACATAAGTACTACATGTCAGGTATGTGTTAACGAAGTTCATTTTATTGACCTTTTTCCATATCGTCCAATGAGAAGAAGGAAAATATCATCATGGATCAAAAACACTTTTGGAAAGTAATTGTTTTTAAGTGTAAGGAATTAAAATTGTCTGGAACTTCACTTAACCCTTTCACTCTAATGAGTGACCAAGACAGAATTTCTCCTTAAAAATGTCAACACTATATCAAGCAGACAAGTGACGCGAATTATTAGGGAATTATTAGTTGATCAGATACCAAGTTCTCCAAAGTGACACCATGAGAAGTGTATGAAAGAAAGTAGGGATAATTATTAAAGTTATCTCTGGAGTGAAAGGCTTAATTAGCTGCTTATCCTTTTACAACCGCCTCCCGGTTAGCTCAATTGGTTAGAGCGCTGGACTGTTGTGCGGGTGCGGGAGGTCGAGGGTTCGAGCCCCGGCCGGACCAACACTCAAGGTCTTAAAATAATTCAGAAGAATATGCTACCTTTCCAGATAACATCAAGAAATGGTTAGATATTCTAGTCTTCTCGGATAGGGACAAATAAACGGAGGTCCCGTCTCCTGCAGGGTTAGGGGTAAGAGACGTTAATTTCCCACGCACGAGATTACTGTGTGATGGATGTCCTCCCCGGGGTGTGATGGGTGGGTTTCTAAACACACGACCCCACCAGCTCTGCTGAATAAATGTGTAGAACGATCGACAAACAATGATGTAATTAACTAGATAATTGCTAGTGAAACCGCATGTTAAGATGAACGCTAAGATTTGTGTAACAGACCAATGCAACAGTAATGAGTGGGATCAACCGATTAGGAAATTAATAGACAACTAAGCTCTATCCGACCACACCCTACCTACGTATCTGGGTGTGGATATCTGTAGCCAATAAAAGTGGCACTTGTAATCCTAAGTTAGTTAGATCGTAGAGCAGAACGTGCATGTTGTGAGCTGAAGAATAAAAGCCAACACAAAAGAGAGTATACAGTCCTCGTTTGTTAAACCAGCGTGTGCGGAGAGCAAATTCCGAGAAACCTCTTAAAAATGTAATCAGTTCAAGTAGTCCCGGGATTCTCCCAAAGTGTAAATCACTTTCCTCTTTTAGCATTACCTTGAAGCTAATGGTTCAAAATTAACTCGAATGCTTACTTATTCAGCCTTAGCGTGCTCAACAGTCTTCTTCTTTTCTCTTCCTTTAGTGACAGAGGATGAAATTCGAAGAGGGATTATCAACGCTACTGGAAAGGACAACCATTGCTTCTGGTTCAGGAGGGTTATCACTGACATCAGTGATTTTGTCACGGATCCCAACACTGGAAAGTTTGTCGACAAACGCTGGGGAAATCCTTCGTCGGTGGATGAGTCGGCGCAGACGTTGCTAGAAGAGCTCAGAGAGAAAGACCTACCTGAGGTTTTGAGCAAGAACAACATCATTCAATATGACGTCAAATGGCATACTAATGGTATCGATCCAAGTGCTTCACAAGAGCATGCGCAATACATTAAGAAGCTTTGTACAGACTTTTATGACACCTTAACTGACAGAATTAACCGAGGTATCGAGGAAGACCAGTCAACCAACAAGGAGGACATCTTGACCGAAGAAGTGTTCCAACATGGTTCGTTTTGTAGGAAGAAATGCGGGATGTTTCAGGGCCGAGACGAATTTTTGACCGAAGTGAAGGACACGATCCTGGGAGAACGAATTGCTGTGTTGCATGGGGAATCAGGTTCTGGGAAGACATCTCTGATGGCTAAAGTTGCCATGGATGTGAAGAAATGGCTCGGTGGAGAATCAGCCACAGTGGTGACTCGATTTATTGGAACAACTCCAGATTCGTCGAATGCAAGATCATTGTTACATAGTATCTGTCAACAGATTTCAAAGACTAATGAGGATTCCCAGGGTGCAACGGTGCCACAGGTGAGTGCATGAAAAGGTTGATAATGGACTGATTGTTGTAAGGAATCCGGGATTACATTGGTGAAACTTTTCTTTTCCCAGTGATGAATGGACTAGCGCTATCATGCATTCATTCATCGCATTACAAATCATAACCAATTGCGACTGGAGCCACGGATTCTCTCGCAGCTCGCACGCGCAGCTTATTTTGGCTTCTCGATGGATCCCTCCGATTATTTTATTTGCTCTGACTGACTTTTGCGATTATCTGAGTATTTTCAGTCTTTCAATCGAAAACTGCTCCAATTGTCCTAAGCTTTGTGCAGTGTGGAGTAGTTTTGAGTGGGTCCTCTAATGCTTACGTCATAATTAGGTAGAAAAAAACAGAGAGGTCTGCTCGTAAACTGTTGCTGGCGCTTTCCAGATATGCTGCAAGAGGGATGTAAAATTTTCTTTAAAATATGCTAAATAAAAACATCGAGATACACCTTTTGGTGATACCGTCTCACAATAATTTTCCACAACAGGATATGAGGTCTCTAATGGAATTTTTCCCCAAATGCTTGGAAGAAAACGCTTCATCGAAGCCTATTATCCTGGTTCTTGATTCCCTGGATCAACTGTCGGATGATGACGGAGGTAGAGAGTTGGACTGGGTGCCCAAGGAGATGCCAAACAATGTTTTTCTGATCTTGTCAACGCTTCCTGGTGAAAAGTACATTTGCTTTCCCAAGCTTCAGGTGAATGCCTGCGTTTTAATGTGAGATGTCATTGCATTCCATCAATAACGTTTTTGTTGACGAGCGACATTTATCTATTTAACACTAAAGTTGTGAAAGGTGCAGGAAGACCTACGGAAGCCGCAACCTCCCTCAGATAACACCGTGGTATAGTGGTACCAGACACATCACAACCTTTATTTTTTTTACTCCCAGTAGGAGAAAATACTTTTTTAATGTCAAATGTCAAGAATGTCATTTAACAGGGTTCGTACTCGTCTTGATAACCCTTAAAAACCCTTGAATTTCAGGAGGCCGATTTCAAGGTCTTCAAAGTACTTGAATTTTTGGTTTTGAGGTAAAATTGTCATTACAAAAAGTCCTTGAAATTTCTAAGTAGGGTCCTGGAAAGTCCTTGAAAAGTCCTTGAATCTTTGGCCTGAAAAAGTGTACGAACCCTGATTGAATGATAGGGTTGAATTAAGGTTACAGCCCCTGTCGCACGCAACAATCTCCCACATTCTCCAATAACGTCAACTCTATTTAATTCTAGGAAAAATATGAAGCCTCTGTCCTTTTAGAAGTTCCGAAAATGCCGGTCGACACAGCGAAGCAAATACTAAACAACTGGTTCAAATCAAGTGGACGACAGCTACAAAAGGAGCAAGAGGAGATTGTCTTGGAGGCCTTTGCAAAGTGTCCATTGCCTCTGTACCTGAAGTTATGTTTTGACGAGGCCTGTCGATGGAAATCCTATACGACTCCAAGTGAGACCAAACTGACGCCATCTATTAAGGGAATAATTCATGACCTTCTTGACCGTGTAGAAAGACTTCATGGAAAAGTCCTTGTAAGCCAAGCTTTAGCGTACATTACAGCGTCTAGGAATGGTTTGACAGAGCCCGAGCTGGAAGACATCCTTTCCCTGGATGATATGGTTCTAAATGACGTTTATCAATACTGGACACCACCAATTCGTCGGTTACCTCCTTTACTATGGATTCGAATCCGATCCGACATTGGAGACTACCTCATTGAACGAGGTGCCGACGGCGCTCGAGTTATTAACTGGTATCATCGCCAATTCATAGAAGTTGCCCGTGAGCGCTACCTTGGAGACGATCAAGCAGTCAGTATCTATTCAAACCTGAGCGAGTATTTCCTCGGCGACTGGTCAGATGGCGTGAAGAAGTCTTATGTGGACAAGGGTGGCAAGAAAATGGCGATGGATCGACTGGTGCCTAAACAGCCGCTTATGTTCGATGTAAGCGAAGACAAACCTATCTTCAATTTGCGCAAGCTAAGTGAATTACCGCATCATCTTCTTCATTCCAAACAAATTGAAAAGCTCAAACAGGATACTCTGTGCAACTTCGAGTTCCTTCTTGCCAAGGTCCAAGGCAGTTCTGTGGAATCAGTGCTACAAGATTTCAATACCGCTCTTACCCTTTATCCCGACGACAGGGAGTTTGACCTCCTCCAAAAATGCCTCAGTTTGTCAGCGCACGCACTCAGACAGGATTCTCGTCAGTTGCCTGTTCAGCTAATAGGCCGCCTATACAAGTACATGCACAAGCAAGAATTCCCATATCTGAAAAAGGTGTTAGTAGCTGCCCATGCTCCATCTGTACCAGCGTTCATTCCAAGCCAACAGTGCGTGACACCCGCTGGTGGCTCTCTGATAAATTCCCTATCAAATGAAGAGTTCCACGGTGGTATTGAGTATGTGAATTTTACGATTGATTCCAAGACAATCGTGACATGTAATCGTGGTTCAGAAGGACTATGCTTACTCTACCTTGATGCAAAGAGTGGAAGAAGGCAGAGAAAGGTCTGTTTCGACTCTTCTGAAACGGATGTAAACGCGTGCTGGTGCGCAAAAATAAGTAAAAACAACGACGACATTTTTATCGCGTCGGGGTCCTCGGCCAACATGTACCTCATCAATGCGAGGACGAACAAGATCTTACAAGAGTACAAACCCATGAAAGATCAGGGGAACTGGTTCAGAAGATTTCCTTCCGTTGCTTTTACCGGGAATGACGAGCTGATTGTTGCCCTCGGGGATTCCAGTGTGCGAATCTGGGAGACCGCAAGTGGTAAGCTTCTTCATGACATAATTGTCAAAGGCATCAACGTCGAGGAAGAATTTGGGTCTTTGGACGCGAACGGAGAACTCGCTGTTTATTGCGTACGCAACACAAAGACGGTTCACGTACTAAATGTGAAAACTGGGGAGGAAGTCCGTTCGGTAGGTATTTAAACCTCACGCGCTTCGCACTTGAGTATTTACAGTAAAGTTTATGACTGTGGATGGATGACGCTCTACGGTATCGCCTTATAGAGGGATTAAATTAATCAATATTTGCCTCCAGTTTAATTTTCCAATTAAACATTTTTAAACACTGGATGTGGATTACTAAAGAGCCTTTTCCCAGGTATATGCCTATCTTTCCAATTATCACGTCGTACTTATTATTTCTGACTAATATTCCCAGGAATAATTTGGTCACCGCTTGAAACGTCAGTTTCAACGATGATGCCTTCATGATTACTTTACTTGCCCACTTAGTTGTTAAACTTGGCAGGCACCATCTATCGTACCAATCACAACGCAGTTAAATTTGTTATTATACGGTTCTTATTCCACCATCCCCTTCTAGATAAACGTAGTGTTGGACAAAGAGGAGATCCGAGGGGAGATGGAAGACACGAAAGTAAAAGAAATCCACCTTACTTCCAGGAAGCAGTTACTCGTGGTATCAGAAGCCTATGTTAAGTCACAACTAAAAGTCTACAATGCTGAAACTGGTGACTATGTTTTAGACCTCAAAGACTTCGGAATCGGCTACAGCAACCGCCTCATCGTAAGTGAGGATGGTAGGAATGCGACAGCTATAAGAAATAATTATGAACTGGTAAAATGGGACCTTCACACGGGCGAACCCACCATCGTAGCGAGGCTACAACCAGCATTCGGTACCTATGGACGTAACTGAGATGTTGTGGCAACAGCTGGATCAGATGGAGTTCTTAGGATCTACGATACACGACAGAGTGTCGATGAAGATGAGACGGATGTCACAGCCACCACGGAAGGTTTTGCTGATACAATATGGATGCTCACAGTTGCTGCAGATAACCGGCATGTGATTGCCAGCTGCACCGTCAAGATGATGCCTGAAATTGCTGTGTGGGATGCTCTCGCTGGGGTCAAAGTCCGCTCTATCAAGGCTATGAACGCTCCTCAGCCATTGCACATGATAGATGATAAGGTTGGTGTCGGGCGAATGGCCGTTGGGGAAGCTACCAAGGATCGCTTTGATCACTTCAAGTTGCTAGACTTTGATCAAGCGAAAGCGACTTGTGTTTTGCAAGGGAAAGCCAGCAAAAGACTGAATGCCGTTGGATTGATAGACGGAAATAATTTCATCGGGCTGTCCCGTGGGAGACGGAATTTAAAAGTTTGGAACGTTCACACTGGCAAGGTACACATATATTTTCTGTTTTATGGCCTTTTCATTGTTACAGTTTCCGATGCTCGTGACAAAAAAGGAATTATGATCTTTTTTCTTTACTTAAGCAAAAGAACACATTTTTCCAGGCCTTATAAAGCCACGCGAGATGTTGGAGGAACACGAGGAAAGCTTATAGATCACGTGCCTTCGTGTTCTCTCAACATCCCGCGTGGCTTTATCGCGTTAGAGAGCCCGGACAAAATGCGTTCTATTGCTATTATGACATAACTAGCTGCATGGGGGCTCTATAACCTGAAGCATCCACTTAGAAACTGAATCTTGACGATGCGTACTATTTTCGCTGGCATGCGTAACAGAGATGTGGCATGCGTGAGAAGATGGCTCCCCGACGCGTTTTCACAGGTGCCTCACACGTAGAGGCCAACCTTCGCACGCATGCCACTCCGGCGTCAGACATTTCCCAGAGTCATGTTTTCAATCTCGATTTCCCCAGGGTCTAGTGCATCTGGGAATAAAATTTCAGCTCGCTGGCATGCGTAACAGAGATGTGGCATGCGTGAGAAGATGGCTCCCCGGCGCGTTTTCACAGGTGCCTCACACCTAGAGGCCAACCTTCGCACGCATGCCACTCCGGCATGCCACCCCACTCATCATGTAATTGACAACAGAACTCAAACTTCACCATCTTTCTTTTTTCTAATAACTGTACTCAATACTCAATACTCAATAATTGATAGCAATATGCAAGATCTTTGTTGCATGTGAAATTGTTAAAGGCCTAGCTTCCTAGCCGAGTTCTCCGTGGCTCAGTGAGAGAGTACTGGAGCGCTAAGCCCCCAAGAATCAATAACATAAACGACCTCTCTTCCAGTTCAGTTTGCTGCGCACATTGGCACACTCCGAAACTCACCCAGTCAAGCTCGTTGTCAATGCATCAGTTTTCTCCTTTGTTTAAACTTTAGCTCCGGTTTAAATTCCCTTCTTGTGAAATAGTGTCATTAATCCCATACCCCACCCCGTTACGGAAACACCAATGCATCAGAGATTAGGGATGAGTTTTCATGCCGTAAAATTTTGGTCAATCAGTAGTTTTTATTTTACATGCAGGTTGTTGGACAATACAAACTTGGCCAGAAGTATCGCCTCGAAGGAATATTAATCAGTAAAGATGGTAGCACTGTGATCTGCTCTCAGGCCAGCTTCTACGTCGAGCAAGAAGATCAAACAGTTCCCCTTTTGGTTTTTAACACCAAAACACAAAAGCACAAGACTTTGGACCCCATTAAAGACGAGCAGTTAGGTTTGGATGGTTCAGCCATCACTGAGGATGGTAAATACTTCATCTTACAGCTTAAAAACGACCAGATAAGTGCGATATGGAACACGGAAACTGGTGAGCTGATGCACACCTTGGAAGAAGGTTCAAGTGGGAGGAATATGGTCGCAATATCATCGAAAAGCATGCTCGCCTTAACTAGCTACGAAAGTCTCAAAGTTTGGGAGATTCAGACTGGAAAGCTGGTTCACGACCTCGTTGCCACGGACGTCGATAAAATTTACCTCAACGAAGAGGGCACTATCGCCATTACCACCGACTCCAAGGGGTATCAGCCCTCATCCTTCGAGGCCTGGGATCTAATAAAGGGCAAGAAGCTGGCCTCTTATACAGTCGACACAAACCCGTTTGCAATCTGTCCTCTCGGTGATCGCATCGTTTTTGCAGCACCGGCCAGTGTTACAGTTATGACACTTAGATTACACATCCCTGAATGCGAGGAGAAGATGAAGCTAGCACTTTCCTCTTATGGCAACCACAAAGAGCTGAGTGAATTTAAAGGAATGATGGATCCATGTGATCCTAATGACGTTGACGACGACAACGATGATGATGATGGTGATATTCAATAAATACAATGTGGCTCTAACAACGTAATCTTGGAATTAATTATCGAAGTGATTGAGTCATCAGTTGTTTTCTTCGTCACATTCAAGTTCTAAATGCTGTAGCCAGATCCTAGTTGTGTATTTGAAATTGGTCTAGGTGATCTGGATATAACACTGGCAAGATCTTAGCTGAACTGTTAAACGATATAACAGTTTTTCAATTGAGTGGCGTAAACGTTACGGGATTGCTTGGACTTCCCTCTATCGCGCATATTATGCTTACAAACAGTGGTAAAAGAAGTAGAAGATATTGGAGGATTAGTACAATGTATCCATTAATATACCACATGACGATCAGAGCTAGAATTAGATATACTGAACTAAAACTGAACCTGAAACTGAAAGATAGACCTCTGCTCAGAGCTTCTGTTCAGAGATTGAGCTGATTCTTAGTTTCCGCTAGAGATATTATAGCGAGTTTTCTCGGTTACCAAGTCAAGGTGACTCAAAATTCAACTTTTACCCACTTGAAATTGCTCTGTGGTTACCAAGTAAGATAACTCTTGTAGAGGCAATCAATGTCATTTAGAATTTTGATTCAAATGTCGCTTAGTGTAATAAAGCCGAGGCATTTTCCATTAAACAAAAACTAGCCGGTAAGACTAATCCTAACATGTGGCACGTGTCTTACAAGATAAATACGCGATAAAGCTGCAAGCATGATAACAAACCCAACACGGCGGTCAAAAGTCGGGCATGCGCAGGGGGCTAGTTATGGCCGATCGTGCGTTATTTCCAACGAAAAATGTAATTTGTGGTAATCCTAATGAGCATGAATTAATATTTTGCCGGCACGTATCGGAGGACTGGGGGTGGCTGCGAGGTACGCAGAGAGTTATGGGAACGTGGTTTCTAAGTAGACGTCGTTAGTGGGGCAAGGCATTCTACGGTCAGCCTTTACCGTGTGTAGCTTTTCGTTTTCGTCTTTTGTATAATTTTAGAGCGGTACTTGCATATTACCATAAGTAACTATGTAAAAATGCATGTCATTCATAGGATACCCTAAGACCCCAAGGGTGGCACCGCTGCCTTGGTCGGAGGTACACGTTTCCCGTTTTTTCCACCTGCTGGTTTTTAGGGGTTTTCGTGTCCGGCTTTGGTGCATTTAGTTTACTTCAATTGTAATGGACTTCTGTTAGCATATCGATTGGCGTTAAATAAACGGTGGCTTAGCTGGCCAACCCGCCCAGATATCAACTCTTGTGTGTCTGGTTGAGTAGTGAAGGCAAAATAGATATGAAACAACCGCTGTTACGCGAAGTGAGGAGAGAAAAGAAACTCAAAACGTCCATGGAAATCTGTAAATAAGGGGGAAAGGGAAAACTCGAAACTTTTCGAACATAAAGTGTAGCGGCGTCAGCTCCTGTGGCGGAGAGATCCGTGAAACTAAAAAGGAACTAAGGACTCACAGTTTCCACAAGGCTGAGATTTATTGTGCCAACTCTTACAGCGACCTGTTTGGTAGGACGTGTTGGGGCGAACGCTCTTATAGGTTCTTAGTTAAGCAGCGACAGCCGGAAGTTCCCTAATGTAACTAAAGGTTACTCAAAGCTCTTTGAAGTTGCCCGTCGAATTTCTGTGAGCCTTATGGAAATTACATAAGTGTTTGCGGCATATAAGCTAAAGGCGTGAGTAGTCCAGTGGTCAGTGCGCTGGACTCTAGGTCAGATGGCCCGGGTTCAAGTCCTGGCTGGGGCTTGACGTTGTGTCCTTAAGCAAGACGCTTCACTCACATTGGTTCGTCTTCTCGGATAGGACGTAAAGCCGGAGGTCCCGTCTCCTGCACCTATCAATTAGTTAATTTCGGCAAGGGACGTTAAAGAACCCACATCACGAGATTACTGTGATGTGGTCTGGCCTGTTTACTGGGAAGGGGGGGAGGGGGCATCTGTAAAAATTTCTCCTTTATTAATTGTAAACTGCCGCCGGCAGTCTGGAAAAGTCCCCCGCACAGTGTTGTAAAGCGCATTAGAGCATTTACATGGAAATGCGATATAGAAATTGATCTATATTATTATTATTATTATTAAGTCACGTGATAACTAGCGGAGAGTCATCGTGACGTAAAATGCCGTAGAGGCTAAAAAAGGGGAATATAAAAATACAGCGGAAATTAAAGCGCACGGGCGCTGTTACATAAAGCGTATTCAAATGCTGATACCATGTTGAATTACCATTTCGTTTTGAGCTTTATGACTTTTATCAAACAAAATACGCGGTTTCAAAATAACGTGATGCACTCGCTAGTGTACTTGTTTACGATTCGTTCACGACAGCTTAGTCCTGGTAGCTTGAAAGCGCATCTTTTCGTTATCACAATCTTTGTACATACAGAGACGTTTGACCGCTTAGCTTATTGTTGAGAACGACTCAATAAATCCGCGGTTAAACTCAAAGTTTTACTTTATTCTGACTAAGGACAAAACCTCCTTGGCGAATACTCGATCTTTTTTTAGGCAAAACTCGAACGATGTAAAAGTACTTGACATTTGATCCCTGTCACTCATTTTAAAAATACTATAAATGTAACGCAACGTCACGTTCTCCTGAACACTTATCTTTCGACATAATTTGAGTCGGCAGAGTAGTTAAAAGTGACTCCATGGCCATCGCTCGGAATCACCATCCATGCACGCGAACTACAATTAAACCTAAGTCAATATTTAAGTAGTCTGACCGGAAAAAAAAAAACTGACAGCATCGATTGACATAAAACTTCGAGATAATTTAAAGAATGCTCACTAAAAACGGATCATCCGGATTTATCTCAGACACTCGTGTTGATCCCTTAAAAATGATTTTGTCTGCTGGATTGTTTTTTTTTTTTTTCTTTTTTCGTAGCTTTGCGAGGGCTGCAGTGCGTGATTTAAGGAGAAAGCTATTCTCCGCGATGAACGCCACGGAAATTACGGCTACGCTGACAAAGAACCACTAACTTTGAAAAGCGGATTGAATCGCTATAAACCCGGAAATTGTGACGTCAACACAGCACGATTCATTTTTTGTCAACAACAAAGTTTTTCTGAGCTTAATTTGTAAAGCCAAGAATAACGATTGTTTCAGAACCCACTTAATTTAAAGCTTAACTTTTGAACTCATTAGGCCGAAAAACATTGCAAGGTAGGTCACGCGACACTGTTTAGCGTTGCGTGACTTAATGAGGAATGTCAGTTACGTTTAAAAATTATCACTTTGGATTGCAAACAACGATGATATTTAAATACTAGAAGAAATTTGGCTTTTCTAGAGCCAGAGCTCATATATGTGCAATACCGTGCGAGCTTTTAAAAGAGATAAAACCATTTAAGTATTTGTCACGCGAACGTTCTGTTGCACCCGTAGTGACTCACGGGAGGTGATAGCGGAAGTTACGCATGCGTAAATTGTGGTCGTTATTTCGACAAATTTTAATCTTGCAAAAGCGGAGATATGTTTGGTCTCTAATAAAGCAATCAGAAGATGTGAACGCTCTATTTTTGGAATAACGTTTCAGATCGTATCGTTTTCACTACTGGAAGCAGGATGGGGGACAAATTGAATCCAGCTCCGAAGGAAAGTGGAGGCGGCATTGTAAGTTTAGTCAACAATCATAATGTAATGTTCCTTGTTTTCCGCAGACTGTTTTTAAATCGCATGATGACTTTCGCGATCTGTTGAGTCTAAATTTCCCTCAAAGCTACAGTGATTATTAACTCATCCGGTCGTTTTGTAGCTCAATCGCATCACGTCTATGCGAAAACAGACAAAGAAGAACAAGGACAAAGATGTCAACGGCCATAAAATGAAGGAGCGTTTGAAGAGCACTCAGGAGGAGCCGCTTTTTGACCAAGACATGGAGGAAGAGATTGAAAGGATCAAGCATTTACCGCCGGAGGAATTCAACAAAATGTTTGAGAAAATGTTGGTACGTATTGACGAAAGATCGTCTTCAAGTAAGCATATTTCGCGATGTTTCGAACCGGGTTCGCTAAGCGATAACACCCTCCGGGCGATGCGTAATGAACATGCAGGCGCCAAATTGCTTTCGAAATTTCTGGTGAATTTTTTTTTGTGAAACACTTATTCTATTCACAAACAATCAAGTTTTATTGTGGTGGTTCAGACGGGTTAAATTCTTAATATCCTCATTTTGTCAAGCGGCGAAAGCGTGGCTTTGTAACTATTCACCTCACAAATATCGCCCGTATTTTCGTGCAATTAAATTAACATTTATGCATCATTTGGAACAATATTGGATGTTGCCAAAGAGTTGACGTGTGCTCATTAGAACTGATATTTAGCGACATTGAGCTAAATTCGATATTTAGGATAAATTAGAAATTATCTGCATGTTATTTAAGTCTCTACAAGGATAAAAATTATCATATTTCTGTGTGTTCAACAATAAAGCCCGTTTAACCGTAATTACTATTTGCAACTCTCCATTTGTTAGTGTAAACAACTAAATTTGTTCTGCGACTAATGTTCGAAGGTTTGATTGGTAACAGTGTCATTCTTCAATGCAAGGCACGTACTGCAAAAAAATGTGTTTTTTATTGAAATAATACGAAATGTTTTTGTATAAGTTGGTGGCTTTACTGTTAATGTATCAGATGCCCTTTTTCGCTTTCTAATGACTTGTTTTTAAAGAGGTATTATTAAACCGATAGTAACAAAGCCATGGTCATTTAAGATATCTGCTAACACAAATGCATCATTTTAACTAGTTGTACATAATGTTTATTATAGCTTTTGCACTTTGCACGACATACTTTTTAAGACAACTCTTTGTTAAATAACTTTTCTCCGAGCTCTGTCTTATTTTAACTTGTCCTGTCATGTACCACTAATGAAGATAAAATTTTTACATATGTCAGGAAGTTGTTATCACATAGCACTTAAAGTTGCACCAGATATTTGTGATATCTTTGAAATCCACCATTATTTTGTGAGTTTTTGTTTTGGGAAGGGTTTCAGTAAAGACAGCCTGAAAACTTTGTCTACCATTTTGTGACCCAGGCAGAGAATGTAAACAGCCCTGAACTAGAATTTTACTTTCAACACAAATTTCTAAAATTGGTCTGACACTAGCAGCATATATTTTATTGGTGACGTTAATTTTTGGGTCCAAACAATATTTATATTTCTCAAGCTCACTTGGCAAAGAATAGTATTAGTTACAGGACTACTGCTGAAGTTGGGTGGATAATATACCATGTGACTCTTGAATTTTGCTGTACTATTACTGATCTGAGAAAAAAAAAATATTTCCCACTCTTTGGTATAAAGGAGGATATGAACTTGTCAGAACATCTGCGGGAACCAATTCGCAACAGACATATGGTAATAAAAGTGGATATGCTGTGCAGCTTTAAAAGAAGACAAATGGCTTCACAGGTAGGCTGAAAAATGAAAGCCACAAGTGCTGACACCACATGCTTGAATGTACAATTGCATGTTCTTTCAGTGTTGATTGTGTAAACATGATATGATTTTCTTCTTATTTTTTTTTTTCATTCGTTGCATCTGAAGAAAACTTCGCACACTGGGTTGACATCACCAGAAGATTATGTAAAGGAACTCAATAAATCAGATGTGTCAGCTGAACATCTCTTGAAATCGCTGCAGTCTGTGCGGGTGTCACTCACTGGAAGACCACTTAGGTAGGTTGGTTGTCCTGCACGCTAAGTAATTCCTAGTTTATCAAAGCAGTTTAATGGTGTTGAGAACTCAATAAAGCAGGAAAACTATAAAGTTATTTGAAATGAGCAGGTTTTCTGTTATATGCTGGGGATTTTCTTCATGGTCAAAAGGCAATCAAAAGGCAATGACCTAATCATATCTTTTAAAGTGCTTATAAAGTAAAAATTTTTTTTGCCCTGTTTGTTTGCTTATGTCTTGATGAACACAGCTAAGCGATTTTGACCGACCAAAATCTAGCTGAGTCCCAGAATTAGTCCGTCTTGACCGTTTCACCTTTGAAGACTAGCAAAGGCTGAGATAATTTTAAAAGTTAGAGAGAAGAAGGGT